AAGAGAGATATTAACTGAATTTACAGGCGCTCTGTATTGTGATAACTGTCGTCATCGGGGTAGGAAATGATGCACAGCCAGAGCACTTCGTTTTCTCAGGACACACACGTGTGTCTTGCTCACCTGGTGGCGGCCTGCTGGATGCGGCTCATCCAAGTCTTCCTGTCTTCTTTCGATGAGGCGTGCAGCTCATACATCTCCGGGGGGGTGGAGTCACTGATCAGGTACATCCCTCTCTCCTGATTGGCTATGTCTCTGACAATCAGATTAGTCAATGAGACCACTGGAGACTTGTCCTGAAACGCAGGTGAGCAGACAGGTGAGCAAACAGGAAACCTTGAACAGAGCTGAAGAAGGTCAGGGGGCTTTCGAATGTTATCAGGCATGACTCACCAGTGACACAACAAAGGTGAACTTCTGGTCTTTCTCCTGGAGGAAAACCAAGATGTCTGACATCAGCAGCACCTGCACATCTGGAGACAAACACAGTCGTGACTTGCAAGCTCTGCCCACACGCATGTTGCACCACAGCAGGTGATAAAGCCCACTACCTTTCATCCTGGTACCCTGGACCTTGCAGAGGAGTGTCCCCTCGTGCAGGAGCCTCCTCCTCAGCAGCTCTCCACCTCTGAACACGCCTCCTCCCCGGACCTCTGCCTGGGCACGCGGGTCCAGGCGGGCATGGATCTCCTGCAGCCTCCTGCTCCGGTCAAGCTCCAGGACCTCTTTGTCCACAGAGCTGATCAGCTCCTTCAGGAGGCCCAGTGCACGGCTCAGAGCCTGTGCCTCCTCTTCGCAGCCTGCAGGAGGTTATGGATTCATCACAGTCATAAGTCAAAGGTCATCAGAGAATCCTAAAGGTCAAAAGTCACAGATTACCTTTAGTGTTGTCCAGGATTCGCTGGATGAGGACGGGGTACTTTGTGATCCGCTGCGTCACCAACAGGATGCACTCCTGGACGCCGTGACGCCGCAGCAGAGGACCGCGAGTCACACGCTGAGCATTGTGGGAAAGGATGGAGACAGGAAGTCAGCATCAGAAACACCAGCCGGCCCCGGGCCGAACCAGCTTGCAGCAGCGTAAATCAAAACACAGTGACCATGACGGTTCCAGGATCAGCCTGAAGCCAGGTGAGCGCCTCACCCTGATGAACTGCTGCAGTCTCCGGTCGCGAGCCAAAACTTCCTTGTAGAGTTTCACAGCTTTCGGATGTCGACTGCAGAACTCTGAATAAACTTTCTTCCAGTCATCAGCAGTCTGCCCTGAGAACTGCACACACACACACACACACACACACACACACACGTGTAGGTTCGGTGGATAAACTCAGGTCTTTGGCGTGTCTTTGTAGCGACCGTCTGGCGAATGCCATTTTAAAATCAGTGGCAAGTGGCTGGTTTATGTTGACAAACGTGACGTTCAGTTCCGGGCGAACAAGCCTCGGGTTTTATTAAATAAATCCATCCATTGCTGTTGTCATTCTGTATGTGGACACGACCTCATATTTGAACTCTTCTTCAGGGTCAAGCGGTCATAAAACATCCTACCTTTGCTTAAAAACTCAATTCTGATCTTTTGATCAAATCCGATTTTTTTTGTCTGTTTTTTGTTCACACTACAAATAAAATGTGACAGCAAACGTGCTCTAGTGTGAAAGCGGCCTGCATGTGCAAAAGAAGACGTCACACACAACGCGCTCTGTTCACGGTAGGTGTTGTTGCAGCAGTCTACCAATTTCTGCACAGTTGTAACCGACAGAATTTTGACAAATTAATTAGAGAAAGAAGGACACTGAGAAAACAGAGAGCCCGTGCTTTAACAATGGTCTTGTTTGGAGCAGTGGCTGCTACCTCCGTGCAGATGTATATATGGACACGGAGTCGTTTGACTTCTCCAGCGCTGATAATTGGGATCTGTCTTTTGTCAGTGACGTAAAAGACTAATTTAATGCGACATGACCATCAAACAGCAGTCACTTTCTAAAACATCAGATATGTATCGGATTCAGTACCACATACAAAAGGTCGCATTTGAAAATGTCGGATTTGTGCTGTTCAAACTGCCATACCATGATCGGATATGGTGGATTTGATGCGCTTTCGCCTGCAGTGGGAACGTAGCCTTAGAAGCCCTGTTAGCAGCGAGGTGCGGGTGCAAGAGGTGGAGTCGTCGTACCTGTCGGACCAGCAGGTCTCCCAGCTTGCGCACCGTGAAGTTGGTGGAGCTGCCCTCCACCAGACCCGCCTTCCTCCTGTTCAACAGCTCTGACAGGAAGTGGGAGTGAAGCTCCAGCAGTTGGTCCAGACACGGGAAGATGGTGTGGACCACCCCCGCCTCCAGCATCACCTCCTCCAGCATCCCCCGCCGGTACACGCCCTCCATGATCCTCAGCGTGCGGACGTGGTGAAACTCGGTCTGGATCAGCTCTGAGGCAGAGAGAGAGCTCGGTCACATTTCTTCTCCAGCTGTGGCGAGCACACGCACAGCTGTAGACCACGCTTTAGTTAAGGTTTTAGAATTGGCTACTTCGTTGGGACTGTAGGAAAACCCGACCCCGCCCACACAGAGCACTGACACGTCAAACACCTTTGGGAGGAACTAAAACAGAGACGCCAAGTGCCAGACCTGACAAAAGCTCTCCTGAACAAACGGGCAAAAATTCCCACACATCTGGAAGCTGTATGAGCTCCAAGTTTAAATCTCCCGCAGGTGTAACGAGTCCACATGTTGTGTGTGTGTGTTTGGTGACTGTTGCTGTACCGTAGATGACGTCCTGCTGCTTGATCAGGTCTTTGTGAAGTGTTTGCAGGAAATTGGGCTCCACAGCGAGGCTCCAGCTGTCGACCTGCACGCAGCTGCCCTCCTTCTGCAGCTCGTCCAGCAGAGGGCTCCACTCAGCTGCACACAGAAAGAATGAATCCCATCAGGTTACAGCGCCACCTGCTCACATAATTAAGATCTGATAGTAATCAATAAAAGTGACTAACAGACCGTCATCAGTAAGAGACTCCATGGACAGAGTCCTGCTCCTGAAGTTCAGAGACTCTGTGGACTGAGACAGGATCCTCTTGAGACCTGCAGAGTCCTCGGTCACACTGAGGACAGACAGAAAGGTGACTTATGATGCTCTGATGGTGTGAAGATGCAGAGAAGCAGGTGAGCATGTCAGCTGTTGACTGCCGTGGCAATTAATAAATGTCTGAATGTCTGAGTGTGTTGAAGCTCGTCATATCGAAAACTTTTTCAAGTCACTGAAGCTGCAATACTCGATTACAGTAATCGAGTACAGTAGAGTACATTAGTTTAAAGATAGAGAGCTTCAGTGTTTTACTTTTGCCCCACAGAACACTGAACTAGTTTCACTGGATGCGATTTAAAAGCTTGCTTCACCTTCCCCACAAATTGATTCTGTTCATCTGGACGTTTTCAGCGGGAGAAACGTTTCTGTGGGCTGGTTTCAGTCACTGAGCAAATGTCCTGTTTATGAGGCTGGAAACCTGCAGTCAGCTGAGACTGAAGAAGTCACCTGGATGAGTGACGAAACATTTCTCCCACTGAAAACATCCAGATGAACAGAATCGACTTTATGGGATTTACTCACCTGGATGACTGAGCACGCATCAAGACCTCACTTTGTGATGGGTGGCGGTTTGATGATGTCAGCATCTGGATTAATTTTTTTATGTTTTATTCTTAATGAACTCTGCGTGAATTTATTCTTGCATATAATGAATTTTACTTCTTTCGCTCTGCGGCCATATCTCTAACCCTCCCAGCAGCTGCTTCCTGCAACCACAAGAACCACAAGATGGCGATGTCGGAGCCGAGCAAACCGGAGCCTCGTCTGTGACCTGGAGGTTTATATTTTAGCTCAGCTGAATGTTTCCGATTTCCAGTCTTTCCACACAAAGTGGTCAGTTTATTAGGAACACCCATAATCAATTTAGTCTGTACATTTGCTTTTCCTGTTTCTGATGCTCCTGCTCAACCACAACAGCCAGCAGCCAATTAGCTCCGTGCTCAGCCTCACCCTGCGATGTTATTTGTGGAGACACTTTTGGCGAGCGAGAGGCCAGATCGAACGCGTCTGGAGCCGAGCAGCGACTGACGAAGGCTGTCAGAAGGATAGATGGCTGAGCTCGGACGCTCCTTCATCATAGGCGCTGAAGCAGAGAAGAAGAAAAAGTCATCATTGTGACAAACAACAGCAGAAGAAGAGGAAAAGGAGATGTTTTTAGGTGACAGGACTCACTTTTGCTTCTCATGGCGACGTTCTGCAGAGCTGAACTATTTCTCGCTAACGCCAGCTTCTGTTGCTGTCAGAGAGAAACACAGGTCAACCTTGGAGCGACCAAAAAGAGAGAGACAGCCTGCGTTCATGAGCAACACAGCTGCTCCAAAAACCCGGGTCACCGACGTTTGTGGCAGTTCTTTTTATAACTTCGCTCTGTGTTTCACTATGGGAATCGCCTTGGTGTGACCAACTACAGAATCTCCAATGACACCATGTCTGTCCATGACAGACCTGGCGAGCCGTGCTCAGGGCTCCACCCCCTCGTTCTAACACGGCCGACCAACCCCTGATGACTCATTCATGCTTTCTTCCTGTGAGAAACTACTTTGAGCTCCCTTCTTGACAAACAAAATTAAAGAGATTTCCTTTAAGTTGATTCATAAGTTTTACCCTACCAAACAATATTTGTCCAAATTTATGGCTGAAATAAATGTAAATTGTACTTTCTGTCAAGAGCAACCTGAAACAGTTTCTCATCTGTTTTGGTCATGTAAATTTACGTGTAAATTCTGGAAGGATTTCCACAAGTTTATTACTGACTTTGTTCTCCCTAATCTTCAACTGTACTATAAGGATGTTATCTTTGGCTATTATAATTTTAAAGACAAGGACAATGATGCTTTCTTTTTTATAAATTTGGTTTTATTTTTGGCAAAATTTCATATACACAAAAGCAAAGTCCTCGGCAGAAAGCCTGAACTTCTTGTATTAAAAATGGAACTTGCACAATATATAAGGACAATCTCCTCATCAAAAAACACGAAGGCTCTCAAGACTGTTAACATCTGTAACCGATTGAAACTGCTAACTTGATTTTGGCTCTTGCAAACTTTTGTTTATTTATGTTCCCCTTAATTTATTTTATTTTTTGTACTCACTTTTGTCTCACTGTCTTTGTCACTCTTTCTGTTCCTCATTGTACTACCACAATGTTATCTTTTATGTGATCCCTGTTTTACTTGACTGTATGTCTATAATGTGATAAATAAAGTTAAAAAAAAAAAAAAAACTACTTTGAGCTCCCTCAGCTTCTCCAAGCTAACTTGATTAGCTGCTTAACAGTTAGAATGAGGGGGCGGAGCCCTGAGCCTTTGGCTCTGTTGATCTTTACTCACTCCTGGCGCGCTCAGAGTCGAGCCCCACATATTCCTGCTCCACAATGATATTGCAAGCTTACTCAAGGAGACGACTTGAACTGAGCAAGGAGAATCCTGAGACAGGACGCACACATGGAAATATCCTGTTTTCCTTTTTCCAGCGATCAGTTCAGTGTTTTAGTCAAACTTCTACACAAAGATCAGTGCACAATAAAAATTACACAACATTTCTCAGTAGTGTGCACACAGAGCATCATTCATTTTCTTTCTTTTACTATCCTCAGTGCAGGTGAATGCCTCATCTGTGCTATTTTTCACCAGCTGTCACACAACTTCAATATATGCAACAGCACAAAATGCTGTCAGCTTAAAGAAAGAATTAGTAAATATTCCACTACAGGATGTCCCAAAGAAAAAAGTATGCTTTGATGCCATTTATTTTTACTGCAGTGCATCAATTCCCTTTTCCCCCCACACATCTTTCCTCTGTGCAAGAACGGAGGCATCTTGCTCCATTCACTGAATTCAACAGTAGACTTTCAGATTTTCAGAGTTAATAAATATGTGAAAGTAATATGTTTTACCACATCATTGTTCTAACTGTGAACGGTGCACTGAATGACGGTCAGGTTAGGGCTGATTTTTTTCACTCAGTGGTGTGACACCTATCACAGCGGCTGCACCATCCGCTGCAAAGCCGCAGAGATTAACATGTATGTGTTGATCTCTGTCTCTCTCCCACAGCATGTCTTTATCCTGTCTTCCTTCTCTCACCCCAACCGGTCGCAGCAGATGGCCCCGCCCCTCCCTGAGCCTGGTTCTGCCAGAGATTTCTTCCTGTTAAAAGGGAGTTTTTCCTTCCCACTTGCAGCCAAGTGCTGCTCATAGGGGGTCATATGATTGTTGGGCTTTTCTCTGTATGTATTATTGTGGGGTCTACGTTACAATATAAAGCACCTTGAGGTGACTATTGTGGTTTGGCGCTGTGTAAATAACATTGAATTGAATTGAAGTTAATGTAACCTTTCTTTTAGAAAGACCCTGATAGCAAAGCTTTCTGATATAAGATGTAAACCAAGAGCGAACCATTGTTTTCCCCAGTGTGACTGTAGCCTACCAGGACTGGGACAGGTGTGTGCAGACAGACAGGTAAGAAGAGAGAGAGAGACTGCTCTTACCTTCTGCTTCATCTTAGCACAGCTCGCCAGACTGTCTCTGCAGCGATTGTGGATGGTGACATTACATGCTATGAGACACACAGGTAAAGAGAGACACGGGTGTAAATGGGGTGACCCAGCTGTCTTAGCTAATTATAGGCCAATCTCCAACCTTCCTTTATATCAAACATCCTTGAAAGAGTAGTTGTCAAACAGCTAACAGATCATCTGCAGAGGTTTATTTGAAGAGTTTCAGTCAGGTTTCAGAGCTCAGCACAGCACAGAAACAGCTTTAGTGAAGGTTACAAATGATCTTCTTATGGCCTCTGACAGTGGACTCATCTCTGTGCTTGTCCTGCTAGACCTCAGTGCAGCGTTCGATACTGTCGACCATAATATCCTATTAGAGCGATTAGAACATGCTGTAGGTATTACAGGTACTGCGCTGCAGTGGTTTGTATCATATCTATCTAATAGACTCCAGTTTGTGCATGTAAATGGAGAGTCCTCTTCACACACTGAGGTTAATTATGGAGTTCCACAGGGTTCAGTGCTAGGACCAATTCTGTTTACATTATACATGCTTCCCTTAGGCAGCATCATTAGAAGACATAGCATACATTTTCTTTGGTATACAATGAAAATGTATATCTCTGAAATTCGAAACAATGAACAGACGCTGAAAAACTAGTTCATGCATTTATTACTTCTAGGCTGGATTATTATTATCAGCACTATTATCAGGAACTCCCTGCAAAGCCTTCAATTAATCCAGCAGGAAACAGTCTGTAAACGAGCTTCTTACAGTCTGAAGTTTACAGAACAGAATCTGTTGTGCTGCCGGACTCTGTGAAGTCCAACAGAAACTCTACAACTTTTTTAAGATTCAGATGCCCCGCCCCTCCCTGAGCCTGGTTCTGCTGGAGGTTTTTTCCTGTTAAAAGGAATTTTTTCCTTCCCACTGTCACCCAAGCGCTTGCTTACAGGGGGTCATATGATTGTTGGGTTTTCTCTGTATTATAGTAGGGTCTACCTTACAATATAAAGCACCTTCAGGCAACTGTTGTTGTGATTTGATGCTGTATAAATAAAAAAGAGAAGCGAGAGAGAGAAACCCAACTACCACAGTGGTACTGGAACCTGCAGAAACCAGGCAAGAAAGAGACCACTTACATGCTAAAGACTTGTAAAGATTTGTTCACTGTGCTGACCTCACTTTTTCCACAGAAGATGTCGCCAGTAAACCACAACACACACACAGTTAAAAATACTCTGTGTTCTGGGTGTGTATGTTTCTTTTTATAAACTTTCTTCAGTCTTCGAGTTGCTCTACACCAGGGGTGTCCAACTCCAGGCCTCGAGGGCCAGTGTCCTGCAGGTTTTAGATCTCCCCCTGGGTCAACACACCTGAATCAAACGATCAGTTCATTACCAGTCCTCTGGAGAACTTTAAAACGTGTTGAGGAGGTAATTTAGCCAAATCTGCAGGACATCGGCCCTCGAGGCCTGGAGTTGGACACCCCTGCTCTACCCAAAGATTTGTCTGTCTGTATCGTTCTGTTCTGTCTGGTGTTGCGCTGTCTTTGTTTTGTTTTTTTGCAGTTTTGACATATTTCACTTTATGTTGTCTTGTGTTGATTGGCTGTCATTTGTAGCACTATGGTCTTGGAGGAACGCTTTCTCCTTTCACTGTGTACTGTACCACTGTACATGGTTGGAATGACAATAAAGCCACTTGACTTGAAGTCTGTGTACACACACACACACACACACACACACGTAGACATAGTCCCCTTGACCCACTTCTCAGGGTGCATCTGCAGCAGCCAATCAGAGTGCAGGACAACAAGGTGTGTAGGCTGACACACACACACATACACACTGGGCAAGGGGCTTGGGGGGATGGGGCGGGAAGAGGGGTGAGTCTTCTTTCACCCGCTCCTGAGGTCTACATGTGGTCACATGACCAATCTGTTGTGTTCAACAAGGAGATTTTACTGTGTTACACTGATCTCAGCTGACTCTGTGTGTGTTAATCCGGAGGTACATCTGTTCATTGTGAGGAGGATTAACACACCGTCTGTCATACACACAGCAGACAAGCCCCCCCCACACACACACACACACACAAGTTCGATCAATCTGTAAATCGACTGTATAAATAAAGTTTCCTGTGTGTAAATGAACTGTAAACCCTCCCTCTGTACAGTTGTGCTTAGGGATGGGTATCGAAAACCGGTTCTTGTTGAGAACCGGTTCCCACTGTTTCAATTCCTTGGAATTGTTTGCCATTTTTGCAAACGATTCCCTTATCGATTCCAGTCGCCCCGAATGACGTCACCACGTTGCGGAGCGTCATTTACCTGGCAGGAAACGGCGGCTCAAACGCTCAAAAGTTTGGTTATACTTTACGAGAACGGATGACAACAGGGCAACTTGCAATACTTGCAAAGTAGATATTTCATTTAAGGGAGGAAACACTACGAATATGCAAAAGCATTTGCTCACAAAACACGCGATGACCTTAAATGAATGTCGTGTTTTTAATTCCGCTCCGGACTCGTGAATCTCAACCCAGCAGCAGCGGTAACGTTTGCACGTCCTCTCCCGTTAATGCGGCAGGTAAATAATCAACTAACAGTGCATATTATGTTAGCGCGATCTGCCTTATTACAAACCTGCCATTACTGTGCATTTAGTGACCATGATGAGACAGAGTCTGGCTCAGATGCTGGCAGCTCTCGCTGCAGTCTGCCGGTAGCGTCTCCTTTCAGGCAGGATAGACGAATGTCACCGAGCAGAGACTCAGTTTGTGGTCAAAGGCTTGCACCCGTTTGCCACAGCAGATGATTTTCAGTAAGTGAATGTGTTTAATTGTAGGCAGGGACATTACTGTTGTGTAATTGCTACAGAATAATTTATGTTATACTTTGTTATTGCTACAGAAGAATATTTATTTTATTATTTTACATTTACATTTTTTTTCCTGGGGACCCTGTGACACCCCATTGAAGAGCCGTAGGCTGGATCTCTTAAGATCTCACTGTTGGGTTTGTAAGGCCATGTTACTCCTAAATTTCTATCTTGTTCAAAGAGAAGATATAAAACAAAGTTCTAAGCTAATCGACCTTAGTGTTCTCCTTTTTAAAAAGAATCGTTAAACAGAATCGAAAATGGAATCGGAATCGTGAAAATCTTATCAATACCCATCCCTAGGTGTGCTTACCTGGGCAGCTGAGCGCCTCTTTGGCCGTGATGCTCCTGTTGCAGGAGGAGCAGAGGGTGGTGGAGGACACTGTCAGTGAGGTAAACAGGTGGCCATTACTGGAGCGCGCCTCCCTCTCTCTCGCTTCCTTCTCCCTCTCTTTCAGGCGCTCCTTCTCCTTATTCTGAGAAACAGATGAGACAGAGCTGTATGAGGGGACCGGAGCACCTGCTGAGAACAGCCAGCGGATTCAAACCCACGACTTCTGATTGGCTGCAGACTGTTTCACCAGCCAATCAGAGTGCAGGGCTGAGTATCAGTGGCTCCACTCTGAAATGAGTCAATCAAATACTTGGAGGCCCACCACGCGTGGGAATCACACGCGGTTGTCAGCCAGAGTGATTAATCAGCTATCAATACAGACGTGAAGGCAGCGTGAGGCTTAAATGAGTCACATCTGTAACCGAAACCACCGTCAAGTTTCAGAGACATCTTCACTAAACTGCTCCAAAGTCACAGACTCAGACCTGATCAGTCGATCCATCGGTAACAGCAGAGGGAGCAGAGTTTAAACTGAAAACACTAAAAGTGACGATTCATCAGAAACATGTTTCATGTTCCCAAAAGCTGAACTTCTGCTTTCTGCTTTCTGCCCTGGGAGGGGCAGGAAGGGGAAGTGTGTGAGGACCGGGGGGGGTGGGGGGATGATGTCATCACAAACACAGAAGTACACATGGGTGTGAAATCCACCAACAACGAAACACTTCTGCTTTTCCTCTTCACACAGCTGCAGCTGAACATCATTATTGATTCTAGATTATTGGATGCTGCAGGTTGAAACCCGACACGTCACAAAACACAACCACCTCTCGAGCTTTTGCAAGAAAATGTGAAACAGCTGCAGGGTGTTTTGCTGCAGCCTCGTCGCGAGCTCCCCCAAGCAACAGCTGTTTTTCTGTGTTTAATTTTACTTTTCCTTTATTTTTTCACGAGTAGCACATGTCTCCTTGTGTACGACCGACAAACCTTACTGGACATAAAAGACGGTCTTTCTTATAACTTTCCGGAGTTCAAGTTTTGCAACACGGACGCTCCGTTTGCAGACCCCCCATTCATCTCACCTGAGACGCCTTTGTTCTCTGGCCCTGGAGGCCGCAAACGCCGACGCAGAGGGAGAAGATCTGGCGTTCTGGTTCGACTGAGACGGCGCACTAACAGACCACCGTTACCCAGTTTATTACTGGCTAATGTGCAGTCTCTGGAGAACAAGCTGTGCGAGCTTCGGGCACGGATCTCATTCCAGCGAGAGATGCGGGACTGCTGCGTGATCTGCCTCACAGAAACCTGGCTATCGGACAAGGTACCGGACTCCGCAATACAACTGCCGGGGTTCTCCGTGCATCGCGCGGACAGGTCACAGGATCTTACTGGGAAAAGCAGAGGCGGTGGTGTGTGTTTCATGATCAACAACAGCTGGTGTGATTATGCGAACGTGCACCCGGTCAAATCCTTCTGCTCACCGGACCTGGAGTACCTGATGATTAAGTGCCGGCCATTCTGGCTACCGAGGGAATTTACAGCAGTGATTATTACGGCTGTTTACATTCCCCCACAAGCCGACACTGACCGAGCACTCAGGGAACTGTACAGCGCGATCAGCAGCGAGGAAACCGCACACCCAGAGGCAGCGTTTATCACAGCCGGAGACTTTAATAAGGGAAACCTGAAGAAAGTCTCACCCAAACTCCACCAACACATCCTTTTTAACACACGTGGAGACCGGCTACTCGACCACTGCTACACCTCTTTCCGGGATGCGTACAAAGCCCTCCCCCGCGCCCCATTCGGCCAATCAGATCACTGCTCCATCCTGCTCCTGCCCGCCTACAGGCAGAAGCTGAAACAGGAAGCTCCAACCCGGAGGGCGGTGCACTGTTGGACGGACCAATCGGAGTCTGCGCTGCGGGACTGTTTTGATCACGCGGACTGGGAAATGTTTCACGTGGCCGCTAGAGACATTGATGAATACACAGACTCAGTCTGTGGATTTATCAGGAAATGCGTGGAAGATGTCGTCCCATCCAGAACAGTTAAATCCTTCCCAAATCAAAAACCCTGGATTAACGGAGATGTTCGCGCGGCACGGAGCACCGCCTTTGCCTCCGCGAACACATCGGACTACAAACACGCACATTACCAACTCCGGAAGACGATCAAAGCAGCCAAACGTGAGTACAGGGACAGGGTGGAGCAACAGTTTGACAACCCTCGGAGTATGTGGCAGGGACTAAACACGATCACAGACTTTAGAGGGAAAACCAGCACACTGCAGACCACGGCCTCTCTGTGTGAGGATCTAAACGTATTCTACGCTAGATTCGACGCAGCGAACACCATGAGACTGGACAGTGTGCCCACCGCGGATGACGTCAGCGCCAGGGGCGGATCTAGAGAAATTTTCTTAAGGTGGCAAAGAAATCAAATGGGGTGGCAAAATCAAAGCCTTTTTTTTTTTTTTTCAAACACACATGCAGGTGGTTACATATGGTTAAATGATTCAAATGCAGTAAGTATGCACGTTTTTCATATAAATATAGTCTATAACTTAATTATTGTCTGTAGCCCACATAATTACACACTAGTTACATAAAACATGTGAGTTTTGATCTTATGTACTGTATAGCCTGTAGAATAAATAAATATGTAGCCCAATAAATATAAAATCCAGAAAGCTACACAACATGGGGCGCTTCATTTACAAACACAAGTCTAACTTAAGTTTCACTGTTTTTGTTAAAAACAGTCACATTGTTACAGCTTAAATTACACAAAATGTCAGAAATCTGCACTGTCATGAACAAAAATTTAAACCTAATTTTTCATGTTTTGTTGGATTAACCCTCTGAGGTCTACAATACAACCGGCCATTTTTGACTCCTTTTGAGTTTATGTTTGTATTTCACCCTGAAATTGTTTCATTTTGGGTTTTTCCCCGTTGCCTTGTTTGATTTCTTTTCAGCTCAACTGAATTTAGTTGTTTTTTCACCGACATGCTGAATTAGTGTTACTGATCTGAAATCACACAAAGAACTTAAAATCCTAGTAGAATTTTTTTTACTGTAAAAAAACACAGACATGTTGAGTACATTTTTATAACTTGAAATGCAAATATAAAATGTACATTTTGTAAACATAAACAACCATTTATCTAAAAATGCACCCCATACACCTGCCGTTTTTTTTTTTCATTTTGTACAACCATTTAAAAATATTACTAAAACTAAAATGAGAGAACAATCAGGTGTGGCAATAAGATGCCCCACAAATGATGTGTGCCAGTAAAAAACAAGTTTGTCCACCAAAAGACAGAAGAGCACAGGGACAAACCTGCAGGCCCGACAACAGCAGGCGTATCACTCCGCTGGTTTCTACTTAGTGACAGTGTTTACGTTGCAAATGTGGCTCTGTGACATTCATTAGTGCCCTCACTGACACACAAAACAAAACGACTACACAACAGAACAACTACACAAGACAACACAACACACTAAGTATGCACTCCACACTAAACGTCACAAATCTCCCACATCTAAAAACTCACTCTGTCTCGCTGCCGTTACCGTCACTCCCCAAACTTTTCCCTCTTCCTAAACAATCAAATCCCACGTGTTGACTTTTTTAAAAATTGGTCGCCATGGTGTATTTTTCCACCGATAGAAATAAAGCCACATGTTTCCTTTCTTTACTGTTTTCGTGCTGTCTTTAGAAAACACTTAAAACACACACACACAAAAATGTGACCACAGTATTTAGAAAAAAGCGTGGCTTATATATATTTTTATCATAACTCTGGATTTACTGGCCTGTAATTAAAATTTAAAAACTTTAAAGTCCCTAACCCCATCCCAGTGTATTTCAGACCCAGCAACACGCTCAGACAGAAACTGGTTCACCCGAAAGACAAAACGCCAAAACACAAACTTAACAATGTGGTGTATGCTGTACAGTGCAGCGAGGAATGCCCAGACCTCTACATTGGAGAGACCAAACAGCCACTTCACAAGCGCATGGCACAACACAGAAGAGCCACCTCCACAGGACAAGACTCAGCAGTCCATCTGCATCTTAAGGAAACAGATTCAGGGATAGCTTCTTTCCCAGAGCTATCACCGTAGTAAATAAGCACAAAAACAATTGAACCTATTCCATACCGTCACTGTCATTATATTATGCTGCTATTCATACTGTCATTATATTAATGCTGCTATCCTGTATATATTGTACATACTATTGTTTGAGTACTTACGATTGTTTTTTTTGTACTTTTTATATTTTACATTTATATTTATTATTGAAACTTGCACCAAGGGAGTGGCACTCCAATTTCGTTGTACTCTGTACAATGACAATAAAGGCTATTCTATTCTATTCTATTCTAAAGGACACTCTTTCGAGGATGCCAATGTTCACATTTTGGACAGAGAGGACAGATGGTTTGAAAGAGGAGTGAAAGAAGCCATCTATGTCCACTGTGAGCGACCATCTTTGAACAGAGGCGGGGTTTACGACACCAACTCTCTGCCATCTATAATCCAGTTTTGAGATCCCTCCCCAGACGCCTTAACGCCCACTCACATCCTGGGCCATCTGACCTCAGGAAATCACATGATAAGGTGGGGCCAGGTTTCACAATGAACACACCCGAAACTCTGGCTGATTGGGACCCACACCCAGTTTCACACCTTGGCTCAGGCGATTAGAGGATCATCAGGGGGTCCTTTTGTCCCTCTGTGGGGGGAAACTCCCACTAGGTTTATATCTGGGACTCTCCACCATTTGACCTTAGAACTGAAGAAGCTTCTCGGATGAGAGGTGAAACGTCTTCAAGCAACTTAAAGAAGTCCAGACGCTTTTCTTTGCAAGCTCCTTTGATTCCGGTTCCTTGGTGTACATCTGGCTGAGGATCTTACGTGGTCAGTACACACAAACAAAACAGTGAAGAAGGCGCAGCAGCGCCTCTTCTTTCTCAGGAGACTGAAAAGATTCGGCATGAGCCCCCGCATCCTCAGGACCTTCTATCACTGTGCCATTGAGAGCATCCTCACTGGATGCATCACCACCTGGTATGGCAACAGCACCGCCTACAACCGCAAAGCTCTCCAGCGAGTAGTGCGGTGCTCTGAA